CAGAGGAACCTCTTAAAGAAGAAGGTACAGGTCTGTGAGAGCCAGAAATCTTGCTTGTTTGTAGGTGACCAAATACCTATTTTCCACCATAATTTGCAAATAAATTCTTTCCAAATCAGCCAATGTGATTGTCTGGATTTTTTTTCTCATTTTGTCTCTCATAGTTGAGGTCTACCTATGATGCCAATTACAGGCCTCTCTCATATTTTTAAGTGGGAGAACTTGCACAATGAGTCTTTGAACATGACATTTTTTTCCACAAGTTTTCAAAAAAATGTGGAAAGAAAATTAAAATTTATTTTTTTTACACAAAGTTGTTCATTTATAAGATATTTCTAACACATAGCATGTACATACCAGAAATTACACCCCAAAATATATTTTGCTGATCCTCCTGAGTATGAGGATACCACATGTGTAAGACTTTTCTACAGCCTTGCCACATCCAAAGGCCCAACATCCAAGTAGCACCTTCAGGCTTTTCTAACACATAGCATGTACATACCAAGATACATTCTGCTGGGCAAAGAGCAAACAAACAAATTACCTGTGGAGACCATTGCTCCAGGCAGCAAGCAGGGACGTGGTCAGCGACAGCGAAAGGAATCTCCCAGGCAGCAGGAAGGAATACTGTCCATAGTCACTAAGGCAGCAGGCAGAGATATTGCCAGCACAAAATAATCTAGGGTGGGTGACTGGGGACAAAGAGAAGGCAAATGTATTAAATAACTTCTTCAACTCTGTGTATACAAAGGAGCATGTCCATAATGGGCATGGTATTGACACAGTTCCATATGGTCCACATTGGCTCACCATTGATATGATCCAAAAATATTTAGACAGTATAAAGGTGAATAAAGCACCTGGACCGGATGGCATACACCCACGGGTCCTTAAAGAATTGAGCTCTGTCCAAGTACCAAGTAATTATAGACTTGTTAGTTTAACTTCTATACTGTAGTTGGAAAGATACTGGAGAGTTTAATAAAAGACCATAAGATGAGTTCTTGCTGGAAACAAATCTGATTTTTTTTATGAGGGGGTGAGCAAAACCTTGGACAGAGGGGTGGCGGTGGATGTGGTATACTTGGATTTTGCAAAAGCGGTTGACACAGTTCCCCCCACACATGGCTAATGTGTAAGGTAAAGTCTACAGGCTTGGAAAAATCTGTATGTAAATGGCTAGAAAACGGACTAAAAGATTGCATTCAAAGAGTAGTGGTTAATGATTCATACTCTGAATGGTCTAGGGTTGTCAGTGGTGTGCCTCAAGGTTTAGCGTTGGGACCCTTACTTTTAATTTATTTATAAATGATAAAGGGTCTGGGATTGAAAATCCCATTTCAGTCTTTGCAGATGACACCAAGCTGTGCAGCCTTACAGGATGTCTTCAATTTACAAGCTGACCTCAATGCACTGTGTAATTGGGCAACTATGCGGCAAATGAAGGTTAATGCAAATAAATGTAAAGTTATGCACTTGGGGGCTAAGAATATGCATACATCATCCATACTAGGGGAAGTACAACTGGGGGAATCAATGGTGAAGAAGGATCTGGGAGTTCTGGTAGATCACAAGCTTAATAATGGCATGCAATGCCAAGCTGCTGTTTCTAAAGCAAGCAAAATCCTCTCTTGTATTAAAAGAGGTATAGAGTCCAGAGAGAGAGAGATATCATATTACCCCTGTACAAATCATTACTAACACCTCATCTGGAATATGCAGTTCAGTTTTGGGCACCAATTCACAAAAAGAACATGGGGAACTGGGAGAAAGTACAGAGAAGGGCAACCAAACTGATACGAGGCATGGAGGAGATCAGCTATGAGGAAAGATTAGAGAAACTGAATTTATCCTCTCTTGAGAAGAGGAGATTAAGGGGGGATATGATCAACATGTATAAATACATCAGTGGTTCATATAGTGAAACTCGGTGTAGAGCTATTCACCCCGAGGTCATCACAGAGGACAAGGGGGCACTCTTTACGTCTGGAGGAAAAGAAATTTAATCTCCAAAAACGGAAAATTTTTCTTCACAGTAAGAGCTGTGAAAATGTGGAATAGACTCCATCAAGAGTTGATTCTGGCCAGCTCAGTGGATTGCTTCAAAAAAGGCCTGGATTCTTTCTTTGATACACAGAATATAACTGGGATACTAACATTTATAAGTAAAGTTGATCCAGGCAACATCCGATTGCCTCTCGGGGGATCAGGAAGGAATTTCTTTTCCCTGCAGGAGCAAATTGGATCAGGCTTTGCTGGGGTTTTTTTTGCCTTCCTCTGGATCGACTGTGGTATAGGATTATAACTTTTTTTTTTTTAATGTTGAACTGGATGGACTTTTGGTCTTTTTTCAGCCAGGACTAACTATGTAACTATGTAGCACAAGCACAGCCAAAGCATTGGTCCAGGAAGCAGGAAGACGTGATCAGCAACAGCCAAATGAGTTGTCCAGGCAGACACATGGTCCAGCACAGCCAAAATATCAGTCCTGGTAGAAGGCAGAAAAACGGTCCATTCCTAACTCCAGATACTACAAAGAAACTCATTCACTCCCTTATCATATCACGACTACTGCAGCTCCCCACCTCACCGGCTTACCCCAACACAGACTATACCCGCTTCAGTCTATCCTGAATTCTGCGGTCAGACTCATCCACCTTACCAACTGCTCTGTATCCGCTACCCCCCTCTGCCAATCCCTCCACTGGCTTCCAATTGCCCAACGCATAAAATTCAAAATATTAACATCGACGTACAAAGCTGTTCATAACACTGCCCCAAAAAAAAACTACATCCACGACCTGATATTCCATCTACCACCCAAAACGCACTCTCTGCTCCTCACAAGGACCTCCTACTCTACATTTCCCTGGTCTCCTCCTCCCATGCCCGTCCCAGGACTTCCCCCATCCTCTGGAACTCACTACTCCAATCCATCAGACTGTTCACCTACCCTCCTCACCTTTAGGCGCACCCTGAAATTCCATCTCTTTAGAAAAGCCTACCCCGCCCTCACCTAATTGATGATCTCCTCCGCTCTTCCCACCACTCCATCCCCCACAGCTATTTCCCCCTGTACCACTCTCCCCTCCCTCCTAGACTGTAAGCTCCAAGGAGCAGGGCCCTCGAACCCCTTGTGTATTGTATTGTATTGTTACTGTACTGTCTCCCATTATAATAATGTACAGCGCTGAAGAGCAAACTGTTGGTGCTATATAAATACTGTATAATAAAAATAATAATAATAGTACATAGGTAGCAGGCAGAGGTGTGGTCAGTTAATTGTGGCAGGCAGAGGAATGATGGCAGTAAGTCAGCAGCAAGCAGAAATATCAGCCTTGATCAGGTAAGATCTGGGCACAGGGGTAGAGGCTTCGTCCCACCCAAATCTCTTTGAAGCCTCTGGACTAACAGACCCTTTTCCGGGAATCTTGCAAAACCCAGACAAACCAAAAACTTTATTTTCTCCACTCAGAAAATCTATTCTGGAGCCCCCCACATACATGAGACCCCTGTGTTATATTGAAGCCAACTAATAGAGTCACAGGGCATAAAATCAGTTCAGGAGGCAGGCAAAAAAGCCCATGGTCGATTAACACACGCCAAGGTCAATTCACGTGGAAGGCAGAGAAGAAACGTGGTTGTCAGGAATGGACTTGCCAGTAATGGTGGGACTCACCTGCCTTGTGGGCTGCAGTACCAGGGCTGGCCAGCGGGTGCTCTCAGCAATCAGAGACTCAACCCTGCAGCCAGCCAAACATCTGAAGCTAATTATGCAGGTGTATTTAAGGGATGGCCAGACCTGCAGTCTCTGCCTTGGTGTGTGTGTTTTTCCTGGGGCCCTGTATCTTGTTCCTGCATTCCTGTTCCTGTCTGATTCGTTGCTGACCCTGCGTGATCCGGACCTCTGCTGACTTCTCCTGTTTCATCCCTGGCTTGTGACCCCGACCATTCTCTTGCCTGACCCCCTGTACCTACCTGCCCGATTGTTATTGATTCCGGCCTGCCCTGACGACGCTTGCATTGTATGCACTGTTATCTGTGGGTGGTTTGGTTCGTTTGCACTGTGTTATGTTTTAGTATTGCACTGCGTTTATGTTTGTATTGTTAGTCTTTAATAAATTATATTGGTTATAACTTATCTGAAGCCTGCGTTTCCCTGCGTCAGTCACATACCTCTGGTCACACCCTGGAGCCCTGACATTACACCAAGGCCAATCCTGACCAGGAGTGGCTGCACAGGCAAGCCATCTTGGCTTGTTGCTGGGAAGGATGGATCTTGATGAGGTTGTGTTATTTATCTCTGCTAGTGTTTGATGAAGGAGAGTATGCTTATCAAACTCTGAAGGAGTATCCCAGGGATGAACTGCTAGAATGTATACGGATCGCTCATTGCCTAGTTGATCAGGCACAGAGTTCTCTGAGGTGCAGCCATTGATTCAGGTTTGTGCTGAGTTGGTTTCATCTGGTACCCCCGAATGCAGGGATGAATTTTTGCCGCCATTTAGTGCCGACCAGGTAGAGTCCCTGGTATGGTTATTAGAGGATGATGTGGATTACTTTTCTGGAAGCGTTATTCTGCATGTTCACCACAGGTACTAAGAGATTGTATAAACGCAGTGCAGTCATTGACCAGACCAGGCTTATTGTGTAAACTGAGCTTTGTTCAACCCATACTGCAGACATGGTCAGACTTGTTGCACCCAGCCTCAGTCAGCTTACAACATCATTCTTCCACTCAAGGCATTCTTCCTGCATCCCGACAGCACCCCCAGTGACTGCCCAGTATACTCTAACTACCACATACCAGTCCTCTGCTCCCACTCGCTGCACCTATCCTTCCTTTACCCTGTAAAGAAGTCCTCTGTAGCAACTGCTCCCTCCACTGTTCCATCTTCCAGCTCTTCTCTGTCCTCAGCTGCTCCATTCGTTTGCAGACCTGCGTTTACTTGCAGTGCCCCAGTAGTTAAAACCAGAGAAAAGCCGCGGAAAATTTATTTCCAACCAGTACCATCCTGCCAGTATCCAAACCGGTGAGCCGGTGAGCCTGCCGTCTGAGAACCCGCCTTCCGTGGTTCAGCCTGGTGCCTCGGCACCCGCACTTCAGCCTGATGCCTGTACCCAGCCTGATGTCTGTACCCAGCCTGATGACCCACCCAGTGCCCGCCCGCTGTCGAGCCAGACGATCCGGGTACCTGATGACCCGGTGCCCACTGTCATGCCTGGTGACCCGATGCCCGCTGTCGAGCCAGACGATCCAATGCCTGATGACCCAGTGCCCGCGGTCATACCTCGTAACCCGATGCCCGCTGTCGAGCCAGATGATCCAGCGCCAGATGACCCGGTGCCCGCTGTCGTGCCAATTGACTCAGAGCCCACTGTTGTGCCTGGTGACCACTGCCTTGCCAGATGACGCGGTGCCCACTGTTGAGCCAAATGACCTGATGCCTGGTGACCCGATGCTCGCTGTCAGGCCAGACGATCCAATGTCTGACCCAGTGCCCGTGGTCATGCCAGTTGACTCGGAGCCCACTGTCGTGCCTGGTGACTCGGTGCCCACTGCCTTGCCAGATGACGCGGTGCCCGCTGGCGAGCCAAATGACCTGATGCCTGGTGACCCAGTGCCCGCTGTCATACCTGGTGACCCGATGCCCGCTGTCGAGCCAGACAATCCCATGCCTGATGACCCAGTGCCCGCTGTCATGCCTGGTGACCGATGCCCGCTGTCGGACCAGACGATCCAATGTCTGACCCAGTGCCCGCAGTCATGCCAGTTGACTCGGAGCCCACTGTCGTGCCTGGTGACTCGGTGCCCACTGCCTTGCCAGATGACGTGGTGCCCGCTGGCGAGCCAAATGACCTGATGCCTGGTGACCCAGTGCCCGCTGTCATGCCTGGTGACCCGATGCCCGCTGTCCAGCCCAGACGATCCAATGTCTGACCCAGTGCCCGTGGTCATGCCAGTTGACTCGGAACCCACTGTCGTGCCTGGTGACTCGGTGCCCACTGCCTTGCCAGATGATGCGGTGCCCGCTGGCGAGCCAAATGACCTGATGCCTGGTGACCCGATGCCCGTTGTCGTGCCTGATGACCCGGCGCCCGCCCGCCCCTCCTGGGGGCCCGATGCCTGTCGCCCCTCCTGGGGGCCCGATGCCTGTCGCTCTGCCTGAGGGCCTGGCGCCCGCCGCTCCTCCTGGGGGCCCGGTGCCTGCCGCCCCTCCTGGGGGCCCGATGCCTGTCGCCCCTCCTGGGGGCCCGATGCCTGTCGCTCGGCCTGGGGGCCCGGCGCCCGCCGCTCCGCCTGGGGGCCCAGCGCCCGTCGCCCCGCCTGGGGCCCGATGCCTGTCGCCCCACCTGGGGGCCCGATGCCTGTCGCCCCTCCTGGGGGCCCGGTGCCGCCACCCTGCCTGGGGGCCCGATGCCTGTCGCTCCGCCTGGGGGCCCGATGCCTGTCGCTCCGTCTGGGGGCCCGATGCCTGTCGCCCCTCCTGGGGGCCCGCCGCTCCGCCTGGGGGCCCGATGCCTGTCGCCCCGCCTGGGGGCCCGATGCCTGTCGCTCCGCCGGGGAGCCCGGCGCCCGCCGCTCCGCCTGGTGGCCCGGTGCCTGCCGCTCTGCCTGGTGGCCCGGGGGCCTGCTGCTCCGCCTGGTGATCCGGTGTCCAGCTCGATGTGCCTCTGCCCGGAGTCCTGCCCGATGTCCTGCCAGACCGATGTGCCCCTGCCCGGAGTCCAGCCCGATGTGCCCCTGCCCGGAGTCCAGCCCGATGTGCCTCTGCCCGGAGTCCAGCCCGATGTGCCTCTGCCCGGAGTCCAGCCCGATGTGCCTCTGCCCGGAGTCCAGCCCGATGTGCCTCTGCCCAGAGTCCAGCCCGATGTGCCGCTGCCCGGAGTCCAGCCCGATGTGCCGCTGCCCGGAGTCCAGCCCGATGTGCCGCTGCCCGGAGTCCAGCCCGATGTGCCGCTGCCCGGAGTCCTGCCCGATGTGCCAGTCCTGCCCGATTTGATATCTTTGCCCGCCAGTTACCAGACCCGGGCGGTGGAACATTTTGCCCAGCTAGGACTGTTTGGAGCGTCCTGAGGCCGCTCCTTGAGGGGGGGTACTGTCAGGAATGGACTTGCCAGTAATGGTGGGACTCACCTGCCTTGTGGGCTGCAGTACCAGGGCTGGCCAGCGGGTGCTCTCAGCAATCAGAGACTCAACCCTGCAGCCAGCCAAACACCTGAAGCTAATTATGCAGGTGTATTTAAGGGATGGCCAGACCTGCAGTCTCTGCCTTGGTGTGTGTTTTTCCTGGGCCCTGTATCTTGTCCCTGCATTCCTGTTCCTGTCCCTGTCTGATTCGTTGCTGACCCTGCCTGATCCGGACCTCTGCTGACTTCTCCTGTTTCATCCCTGGCTTGTGACCCCGACCATTCTCTGCCTGACCCCCTGTACCTACCTGCCCGATTGTTATTGACCCGGCCTGCCTGACGACGCTTGCATTGTATGCACTGTTATCTGTGGGTGGTTTGGTTTGGTTTGTTTGCACTGTGTTATGTTTTAGTATTGCACTGCGTTTATGTTTGTATTGTTAGTCTTTAATAAATTATATTGGTTATAACTTATCTGAAGCCTGCGTTTCCCTGTGTCAGTCACATACCTCTGGTCACACCCGGAGCCCTGACAGTGGTTGATAGTTCAAGCGGCAGGCAGAGGCATCGTCAATAAACAGTCCAAGGTCAGTTTAGGCGGCAAGCAGGGGCATTATTGATAAACAGTCCAGGTCATACAGGGAAATAGCAGATAGTGGACACTGGAAAAATATCTTGACTAATAGTGTAGAGATGAGTGATAGATCAGGAAGCAGTCTCCAATACAGAGTCCTGGCTGGGAAGGACATTGGGGACAGTAGTATCGGGTGTCAGGGCGAATTTGGTTACTGGAACATACACATTTTTTTTGGGGTTTGCGGCCTGTTTGGGTAAGAGGAGGATAACGGGGAAATGCCTCTCATGGAGTCTGGTCAATGAATCAGAGCGAATTTGGTCAGGGGCATGGTCATGTGGATAGAGAAGGGCTGTAACAATATCCTCCTGGTGCTTCAAGCAGGTTAGAGATCTTTGTGTGCACTTAGAAAAGATGACATACAAATTGTATCTAATTCTGAAGCAAGTAGATGGCAACCTTTTTTTACCAATAGAGTGATCTCCTGGTGGCTAAGTATGGCTGTAACATCTCGTCATTCATACCCCCCCCCCCCCCCATGAACTGGTTATAGTCATGTATGCATCTTGGTTTCTGGACGGGACCTTGTCTTGTCTGAAGAGGTGTCATCATGAATTGAGAAAGGATATAGACATATCTTTTCACTTTAGAGCTAGAATCTCTTCATTCTGCAAACTGGCTGTTTCATCCCGTTTTAATTTTGTAGTGACCAATCGTTGTGGGAAGCCCTTGTGGTTGGTCCATGCTGTCCCACAGGACACAGTTTTCTTCAAATAGAGATGGCAGAATAAAGGGAGACTTGTGTAGAAATAATCTACATACAAATGGTGACCCTTCTCGAACAGCGGTTCTATAAGCTGCCAAACAATTTTGCCACTTGTCCCCATATAGGTAGGGCATCCAGGGGGTCTAGCTGGCTATCCTTTCCCTCATAAATCTTGAAGTTGTAGGTATATCCCATGGCCCTGTCACACTCCTTCTAGAATTTTACTTCATATTTGCCTGTTTACTGGGGATGTACTGTTTGATGCCAAGCCTTCCAGTAAAGTGGACTTGGGATTCATCCACACAAATATTTTTTTGTCGGTGGTAAACATTTCCTTGAAGGTACAGCAAAAATAGTTGATTAGTGGCTGAATTTTGAATAGCTTATCATAATCAGGATGATTTCGAGGAGGGCACTGGGTATTATTATTGAAATACAAAAACCTCATCATCTCATAGCATGTTCTGGGCATACAAGATGAATAGACTGGCATTTGATGTATAGGTTGGGTAGACCAGTAGGCATGGAGTTCATTTTTTTTTGTCAATCCCATGTTCAAAGTAAGGCCAAGAAAAATTTTAAATTCCTCCACGGTGAGGGGTTTCCACACAAATGGGCAGGCGCATGATGAACTGGGATTGCTGGCTATATATTATCATTTTCTGCTTGTATTTGAGGGCCTGGCTGTGCTGTAAAAGAGGAATTGTAGGTTCTGAAGAATTAGCAGGGAGCCATGTGGGATATAAAAGTACATCTGGGAGACTAGTATGGGTCCCTACCTCATTGTGGATGGGAAACCCTGCTACTAGTGCCTGGTCTATCATCTGGGAATGCGGCCACGGCACCAGGATTTGTAGTGCTACTGAAGGATGTCTTCTTATCTTCTGGGAGTGCTGCACTGTTTGTAGTCGCCACTGCGCTACTGATGGATTCCTGCTCCACCTCAGATCTCCTGAACCTCTTTGTTTGGACTCTCTTTCTCAGAATCTGTTGCTGACCCACTGCTTTCAACTGGCTCATACTCAGAATCCGAGTTTGACAGAGATTTCCCCACCACTCTCATCCATTATACTCAGTATCTGGAAAGCCTCCTTGCTGGTATATAATGTTTTAGACATTTTGATGTTCACTGGTACAGATGTTGATTTGACACTGATACTCTGTGACAGATATTGATCACTGGTACTGATATGAATTTGAGACTGGTACTCTTTGACAGATATTGATCACTGGTACAGATGTGGATTTTACTCTGGTACATTGTGACAGATGTTATTCACTGGTACAGGTGTGGATTTTACACTAGTGCTGTGTGACAGATACTGAGAACTGGTAAACTGACAGATGTGGATCACTGGTACAGATGTGAATTGTACACTGGTACACCGTGACAGATATGGATCACTGGTACAGTTGTGAATTTTACACTGGTACACCGTGACAGATGTGGATCACTGGTCAGATGTGGATCATTGATCACTGGTACTGATATGAATTTGAGACTGGTACTCTTTGACAGATATTGATCACTGGTGCAGATGTGGATTTTACTCTGGTACATTGTGACAGATGTTATTCACTGGTACAGGTGTGGATTTTACACTAGTGCTGTGCGACAGATACTGAGAACTGGTAAACTGATAGATGTGGATCACTGGTGCAGATGTGAAATGTACACTGGTACACCGTGACAGATGTGGATCACTGGTACAGTTGTGAATTTTACACTGGTACACCGTGACAGATGTGGATCGCTGGTACAGATATGAATGATCCAGGGACATCGCAACAGATGTGGATCACTGGTACAGATGTGGAATTTACACAGGTACACCATGACAGATGTGGATCACTGGTACAGATGTGGATCACTGATACACCATGACAGATGTTGATAACTGGAACAGATGTGGATCACTGGTACACCATGACAGATGTGGATCACTGGCACAGTTGTTTAATTTTATACTGGTACACTGTGACAGATGTGGATCTTACACTTGTACACTGTGACAGATGTGGATCACTGGTATAGATGTGGAATTTTACACTGGTACGTCGTGACAAATGTGGTTCAATGGTACAGATGTGGATTTTGCAGTGGATGTGGATCACTGGTACAGATGTGGATGACCACTGGTACTGTGTGACAGATGTGATTGATCAGATGGATATTGTGTGACAGAAGTTGATCACTGGTACTGTGTGACAGATGTTGATCACTGGTACTGTGACAGATGTGGATCACTGGTACTGTGACAGAGTGATGTGTGGGCGATGTGATTGTGTGTAACTCACAGATCAGCTCTGTTTCTCCTCACTAGCGGGCTCTGTGTGAGGAGAAACAGAGCTGTTCCACTGAATGGCGGCTTGTTGACATCACATGACGGCTGTGATTAGACACAGCCGTCATGTGATCAGAAGGGCCAATTAGAGAGCCCTTCTGCCGAGCGGTGTTGCACTCTGTCCAGGGGACACAAGCACACCGAGAGCGCGCAGCTACGAGGCTGCGCACGCGCCCATGTTCTGAGGGACATAGAGGAACGTCCACTCAGAATGGCAAAGCTCCCACCTGACTGTTTATTTATTATTATTATACAGTATTTATAAAGCGCCAATGGTTTGCTCAGCGCTGTACATTACAAAGGGGGTTTATGTGCAGTGGCCAGGTGGGAAACGATTAAACATGTCCAGTAAAAAAGTTTTAAAAATCAAATTGTGTCATAAATTTAGGCCAAATTGTATTCTGCAACATGTCTTTGCTAAAAAAAAATCCCAATATGTGTAAATGAATTGGTTTACGTGAAAGTTATAGAGTTTACAAATGGCAGTATAGATAATGAAATTTTTTTTTTTACTAGTAATGGCAGCGATCAGCGACTTATAGCGGGCCTGCGGCGGACATTCTGACACTGGGGGAACTGATATGGTGTCACTGATCAGTGCTAAAAAAAAAAGCACTGACATTGTACTAATGGCACTGGGCAGGAAGGGGTTAACATGAGGGACGATCAAAGAGTTAACTGTGTGCTGGGAGTGTTTTACTAGGGCAGGGGTGGACAACTGTGGCCCTCCAGCTGTTGTAGAACTACAAGTCCCATGAGGCATTGCAAAAACTGAGTTACAAGCATGACTCCCAAAGGCAGAGGCATGATGGGACTTGTAGTTCACCAACAGCTGGAGGGCCACAGTTGCCCACCCCTGTACTAGGGGGCTGTGTCAGTGTGCTTCACTGTAAGCATACTGCTTTGGATGGCTGTGCACAGCCATCCAGAGCAGTGTGCCGGAGCTGACAAAGAGAACTGTTAGTATACAAAACAGTCCTCCCCATTGGAGAGCCTCGGTAATGTATCGTTGCTGTATTGTCTCAGGTTATATTGTAAAGCGCCGAGCAAACTGTTGGCGCTATATAAATCCTGTATAATAATAATAATAATGACTTGCCGGGACTGTAATTGACAGCCGTGGCCACGAATGGCGGCGCAGGTAGGGCAGTATTTCTGCTATAGGGCGGTCGGGAAGCGGTTATTTGAGACGCTGCAGAAAAGATGCAGTGTTTTTTATGCAGTTTTAACCACTTGAGCTCCTGAGGATTTACCCCCCTTAATGACCAGGCCTTTTTTTGCTGTTTGGCGCTGCACTAATTCAAATGATAATTGCGCAGTCATGCAATGCTGAACCCAAACAAAATTTACGTCCTTTTTTTCACACAAATAGAGCTTTCTTTTGGTGGTATTTTATCATCTGTGTGCTTTTTCAGCTATAAAAAATATATCGTAAACTCAAAGTTAGTCATAAATTTAAGCCAAAATGTATTCTGCTACATGTTTTTGGTGAAAAAAATCCCAATAAGTGTATATTGATTGCTTTGTGTGAAAGTTATAGCATCTACAAACTATGGTATAGATACTGTAATTTATGCCTTTTTTTGCTATAGAGCACTGCACTAATTCAAATGATAATTGCGCGGTCATGCAATGCTGTACCCAAACGAAATTTACATCCTTTTTTTTCCCACAAATAGAGCTTTCTTTTGGTGGTATTTTATCACCTGTGCGCTTTTTTTTTTTTTTGCGCTATAAACAAAAAAAATGAAAATTTTGAAAAAAAAAACAATATTTTCTACTTTCAGCTATAAAAAATATATCGTAAACTCAAAGTTAGTCATAAATTTAAGCCAAAATGTATTCTGCTACATGTTTTTGGTAAAAAAAATCCTGTGCATTAGCAGGCAAACTGGCGCTATATGGGCGGGGCGCTAACACTATCGGAAGTCACCAGTGACACTAATACAGTGATCAGTAAAAATCTGTTCACTGTAATCAATGACACTGGTGACAGGGCAGTGAAGGGGCTAACTGGGGGGCGATCAAGGGGTTAAATGGGATTACTGGTGTACTGGCGGGCAAACTGGCGCTATTTGGGAGGGGCGCTAACACTATTGGAAGTCGCCAGCGACACTGATACAGTGATCAGTAAAAATCTGTTCATTGATCAATGACACTGGTGACAGGGCAGTGAAGGGGTTAACTCGGGGGGGGGGGGCAATCAAGGGGTTATACGGGATTACTGGTGTATTAGCGGGAAATCTGGCGCTATCTGGGAGGGGCGCTAACACTATCGGAAGTCGCCAGCGACACTGATACAGTGATCAGTAAAAATCGGTTCACTGATCAGTGACACTGGTGACAGGGCAGTGAAGGGGTTAACTGGGGGGGAGAGATTAAGGGGTTAAATGGGATTACTGGTGTACTAGCGGGCAAACTGGCGCTATCTGGGAGGGGCGCTAACACTATCGGAAGTCGCCAGCGACACTGATACAGTGATCAGTAAAAATCGGTTCACTGATCAGTGACACTGATGACAGGGCAGTGAAGGGGTTAACTGGGGGGGGATTAAGGAGTTCAACGGGATTACTGGTGTACTGGTGGGCAAACTGGCGCTATCTGGGAGGGTCGCTAACACTATCGGAAGTCGCCAGCGACACTGATACAGTGATCAGTAAAAATCGATTCACTGATCAGTGACACTGGTGACAAGGCAGTGAAGGGGTTAAGGGGGCGATCAAGGGGTTAAACGGGATTACTGGTGTACTGGCGGGCAATCTGGCGCTATCTGGGAGGGGCGCTAACACTATCGGAAGTCGCCAGCGACACTGATACAGTGATCAGTAAAAATCGGTTCACTGATCAGTGACACTGGTGACAGGGCAGTGAAGGGGTTAACTGGGGGAGTTGGCGATCAGGGGGTTAAATGTGTCCTAGGTGTGTTCTAACTGTGGGTATGTGCTGTTTTACTCATTGTTTGGATGTCTTCTTCTGTCTGGAACGGAATGTGTCCAGGCAGAGAATGACATCATATCCTGTCCTGTGTAAATGTCAACACAGGACAGGGACCGATCATCTGATGATTGATCCCTCCTGGATCGAATGGTGTCACCCGCAGGTTGGCGGGAGCGCACGCCCCCTGCCGGCAAAAACGTTGGGAGCGCTGAGCCGTTTTAAAACATGGTTTTGCGCCCCAGTGCCGACCCAGCACACGTATATATACAGTGGCAGGGCGGCAAGTGGTTAAATCTGCCCAGCAACAAATTACACAAGAAAAAATCAAGGCGGCTAGGTTCACACCTATGCAGTTTGTGTTTGATCCATTTCTGCAGTGTTTTGCTGTGCATTTTAGATGCTTTTTTTTGGCCAACTTGTTGCGGGACAGATTAAAATGCAAAGTGCACTACATGCATTTCTGCAGCATCTACACTGAAGTCTTTTGAACCAACACGTGTTTAAAAAAAAAGTCCCTGACCCTTTCCAAAAATCGCAGTGGGTGAAAACACGGGAGATGTGAACGTCCCATAGGAAATCATTTTAAATGGACTGTACTGCATTTCTGCAAAATACTTAGGTGAGAACCAGGCCTAAAAAACACAAAATGCACCAAAAAAAAAACGCACAAAAAATGTGTGTGCAAAAACGCAGTGCAGGAACAGATGGAATAGCACACTGCATAGGTGTGACCCAAGGCCTACTAGTCAGTCAGCGAGGCAGTGTTTCTGGGCTCTTAGCTGGGGTCATTTTCCTCCACACGAACACCTCAGTGAGGCTCCTACCCCCTAGTTCCCGTAGTGGTGAGGCCGGCCTATATACAGTGTGTGTTCCCTCAGGACTCCCCTCCATGTGCGGAGGATGTAGCGTCATCCCCTCCCTCACTTCACATACCACGTCCAGCCCCGCCCACCGGAGGCAGCCATCTTGTCCGGAAAGGGGACCGGACCCGGCTGTATAGTGGTCTCCCTAAGCCGACTTCCAAAAAAAGCCGACTGGCTGGAGGAGTGGAGGTAGCGGAGACGTCTGCGGAATACGTCCTGCCGGAAATTGTATGGAGCGCCGCCATAGGTCAGAGCTGACATTGCACTGACATCAGCGGGGATTAGACCGGCTGGACCGGAGTGGGGGCGCCATGAGCTGTTGTTAGTAGCGGCCAATGTTCGGAACAGGGGTTCCCGGCCTGTAGGCCTGCAGCTCCTCCAGCCGGGAGATCCCTCTGACCGGCCGGCCGCACCATGGCCTCCAATTGCAGCACTTCCGCCGCCGGCAGCGCCAGCAAAACCAAAACCAAGAAGAAACATTTTGTCTGTCAGAAAGTCAAGCTGTTCCGAGCCAGCGAGCCCCTCCTCAGTGTGCTCATGTGGGGGGGGTCAACCACACGGTGAGTGCACACCTACCTCAGTGTTCACCTACATTCCATGTATGCTTCCATTCACACCTACAGATTTGGAATCGCAGCCAGAATGGACCTGATTGCGCTGCAATACACGCTATGCGCATTTGGGTGCCATTTATTGTTAACGGCACACCACACGCAATGCGATTTTTCCACAGTTGTGGCTTGACAAAATGCACTTGAAAAAAATATTGATTGAAGGTGTTTGCCCAAATTGGTGCAGGAGCCTCTCTGGCACCATAAACGCGCCTAGGGCAGCCCATCAATTCTGACTTTGATTCCACATTGCAGTAAAATGCGTGAAGCACATTTGAACGCCATAAGGCCGCGTTCACACTTTTCACATAGCGAGAACAAGTGATTTTGCATGTCACACATAGGGGAGCCCGACTGCTTCATGGGCTGTGCCCTGTGCATGTTTGTAGCATGAAAAAGAAGCTTGTGATCCTTTTTGGGTGACAAGTGTGGCAAGCTTTTAACCCCTTGCTTCCCAAGCCTATTCTGACACTTCTCTCCTACATGTAAAATTAACTTTTTTTTTGGTAGAAAATTACTTTGAACCCCCAAAAATATTATATGTAAAAAAAGGCCCTAGAGAATAAAACAATGGGTGTTGCAATTTTGCATAACAGTTTTTCAAACACTTTTTGGAAAAAATATTAATGAATTTTGGTGAACACTAAACACAATACCATTTTTTTTTTTTTTGTAAAATATAAAAGGGTATTACACCGAGTAAATAGATACCAAACATGACACACATTGCGCATGCTCCTGGAATGGTGACAAACTATGGTACTTTTAATTATCCATAAATCTTTAAAAGCCTTCACAGGTTATCAGTTGAGAGAGGAGGTCTGGAGCTAGAATTATTCCTCTGTAGTTCGCAGTAATACTTCACATGTGTGGTGTGATCGTTTATGTATGCATGTATCACTGGGTGTGAACACATGGGGATAGGGGCACTTTACCCCTTGCCCTCCTGAGGATTTACCTCCCTTCCTGACCAGGCAATTTTTTGCGTTACGGCGCTCCATTACTTTAACTGACAATTGCGCGGTCATGCAAAGCTGCACCCAAATTAAATTTACGCCTTTTTTTTTTTTTTTTTCATGAATTTTGACAGAAGAACCCCAATATGTTTGACTTTTTGCTATTAACATGTCTAGTAAAAAAATGTTGAGGCTCCATGCACACTGGGCAAAACGATAACGTTTCAGCTTCTTTTTTAGCGTTTTTGCATTAGCGTTTAGCAGTGTTTTAGCGCGATTAGTGGCAGTTTTCCACATTTGCATTTTCATCCCCAGTGACACCAATACAGTGATCAGTTCTAATAAAAAGCACTGACACTGTACTAATCACACCGAGTAGGAAGGATTAACATCTGGGGTGATCAAAGGGTTTGCTGTGTGTGTGCGCTTTCCACTGTAAGCACACTGCTATGCAGAGCCATGCAAAGTAGTGTGCAGGAGCTGACAGGGGAGAGAACTATATTGTTTGCGAGTAATCACTGGCTGGGACCCGCTGATTGACAGCCGAGGCTGCGAATGGCGGCTTGGGTAGGGCGCTCGAACCTCCTACCTGGAAATGCAAAATCATGTGTGTATATATACATGATTTTACACACCCCTGTCACCTTGTAGCAGTATTTATTCTATAGGGCGGTGGGAAAGCGGTTACATTTTATTTTTACAATGTTTCTTTAACCGCCTCCCGCCCGCCATATAAGGCAATGATGGGCGCAAGGCGGTTCTCTCGTTCTGGGAGGACATCATATGGAAAGCCACGATCTGTGTGTGCGTTTCCCGCACTGTCCTTGCAAACTGCACATTCCTGTGCGATTCATAGTGGGTACCTAGGTTAATGGTGACCCAAACACTGCTTTTTTTTTCTTATTTTTAAAATGTTGTCTATGGAGATTTTCAAGTACCGTAGTTTGTCACCTTTCACTGAACGTGCACAATTTTAAAGCGGGACATATTAGATATCTATTTACTTTCCGTAACATCCTCTTTCATATTTTACAACACAATATATTGTTTTTTGTTTTTTTTTTAATTCATTAAAGTGTATTTTTTTCCCAAAAAAATTGTTTGAAAAACTGCTGCACGAACGCCGTGTGGCACAAAAAATTGCAATGATTGCCATTTCATTCTCTAGGGTCTTTGCTAAAAAAAACCAAAATGTAATGTTTGGGGGTTATAAGTAATTTTCCTATTTTCCAAAAAAAATACTGATTTAAACTTGTAAACAACATGTTCTAGAAAATGCTTGGTCTTCATATTCAAAGCAAACTCACTCATTCATCCATGCTTTATTTTGCTGAGAAATAATATTGAAAAACACCCCCGGTGTTTCTGGCAGTGGCCATCTTGATTAAGGGCAGTTGATTCATATATCATTTACTTTCTGGAATCCATCTGCCCTTGGCTCAAGCATAGGCTGAGCTGAGAACCTTCCCTCCTCTCCTGAAGACTCCTGGAGTGTATGACCTCATTTGCCTAGACATGGAAACCAGGAAGTGACTGAAGAAATGTAAAAATGTTGATTGAGAGAGGGAAGTTTCGCTTTAAGCTGGGTACACACTATAGGAAAATCGGGCAAACGATCATCCAATTTCCTCGGTGCTTCACAGCAAGTTGAACCCAAGGATGGTACGAATTGTCCGAAAATTCTCGAATGAAAAGCTTTTTTTTTTTTGCGTAGAAACATTGTAGCGTAGATTACTGTTGTTTATTATCATGTGTAGTCTTTCGTATCCCATCTTTCTCATACACAAACAGTACACATTAAACGAAAGTCATTAGTTCTCTTCACGTACGAGAAAAATTTCACAATTTGTCCCATCGAAAATTTTTGTTTGGAAAGTCTAAATTGGATGTCGAAGGTTGTGTACACACTATAAGGAAATCGATTGTGTACACACTATATGACCTCGTATGGAATTTTTTTCCCGATTTTCTCATAGTGTTACTCCACTTAAGGTTCCATTCACACCTGTGCATTTTTCAAATGTGTTTTACAAAGCACGCAAAAATGTATTGCGTTTGCATTGCCATTCATTGTTGGGTTGGGTTCACACTGGTGCACTCCAGGTTAGCTGTAGTGCAGGTGTAGCCGCAGTTTTCGGGAGTTTTGCCCTTGTTTTTAGCTGTGGTCCCATAGACTTCCATTAGTTCATGTGTTTTTGCGACACCAAAAATGCAGCATGTGGATCTTTTGGCGAGGTTTCATAAAACGTGGCAAGAACAAGCGACCTAATAGAAGTCTATACAAACCATGGGATAAGACACCTAAAAATTCTGGATATGCCTGTGTTGTGGCCAAACCAAAGCGCACCAAATGCAACAAGCAAGTTTGCGGTTTGCCATGTGCAAAAATGCATGGAATGCAGCAAAAGCTGATTTGCCATGTGTAGGGCTGCTTATTGAAACGAATTGGCTATCCTTATGCATGTCACATGAAAAATGCAAAATGCATGAAAGGGCAGCTCATTTATTTCAGAGGGCTTTGCTGACTATATAAAAAAAAAAAAAAATTATAATATTATATATTTATATATTATAATATAATTTTTGTTTTCTTCTTTACTCACCGCACCGAAACACATGGTACTTTGCGTTAGCAAGGTGCTTGGAGGTGCCATTGTGGCGCAGGCATAAATGTCAGGTTCCATCAGCACATCTGTGAACGTCCAGGGGATTTTTCACAGGTGCATAGACAGGAAAGGTTTTGGTGCATCCCTAGCCGGCCGCTGTTACCTTCTTCCTTGTACTGGGGTTTTGGATTCTTGATTGGCTGGCAGGAATTGGGTGGGAGAACACCATCCTGCACATGTGCACAGGAATCGTCGTTCATTCTGGCACAGGAATGCATACTGTGCATGCACAGCTCAGTATGCATTTACTAGAAGACTGCGGGCAGGCAGGTTAGTGTGTTACCAGATGCTTACTGCTCAGAACTTTTTAGTTCTGTCTTAACGGCACCGCCACACACCTGCAAAAGAGCTCTGCCTCTTTCGTGCTTTACGGGCACGGACGCAATTTTGTACCCATTCCTGCAACGTACGAATGTGAACCTTGCCTTGCATTTGTGTTTTTTTTGTTTTTGTTTTTTTTTTTTTTTAATTTAAGTGGGTTTGTAGAATTGTATAATACAAACATAGTGATAAATCTGTGAACACAGTATACTGTGCATACCTGAGAAGTTAGTTTGCATCGATACCGGTACCCGTGCTGACACCAAGTACTTCTCCAAATGCCCCGATACCTAGAACCGATTTTTTTTTTGTGCAATTTGAGCCCATACAAAATGGCCTAAATTATACTGCAAAGAATCACATGTGATTTGTGCAGTGCGATTCCTGTCTGAATCATGTTCGGTTTGCCTGTGGGTGCAGTGCGATTTGAGCCATTCATTTTGTATGGGCCCAGATCGCACCACACAAAAGAAATAGTTATCGGTAATTGCTATCAGCAAGTACTTTATGATAAAAAGCTTCAGTACTCATTCTTGTAAAACTAGTATCTCTACATTTTCTTGTTTGCATAAAGTGAAATGGGTTTAATCTGAGAAGACTTCAGAAGTCATAATTGAGCATTGTTTAACCTCAATCTTTTTTTTCCAAAGAAGAAGAGGAAATTTGGAAATTAAGTTAGTGAGTGTAAACCCTTCCATATACCCAGTGAAGTGATTGACCTCAGGTGATACACAGAGATGAAACAAATCTTGGGCAGCACAGTGACTAAGAGGTTAGCTCTTCTGCCTGGAGTTTGCATATTCTCCTGTGCCTGCAAAGCGCTGTGTAAATTGATGGCGCCATATAAGTACCTGTAACAAATAAATACATAGGTTTGTACCTGTTTATCTGCAGTCTTCCCCTCTCTACAGCCTTTCAATATCCAGGATTTATAAAGCTTGTCTGAGAGAGAAAAAAAGGACACGGAGAGCTGAAGTTACACTCTACAGTGTTCAGTGAGGAGAGT